GTACTTGCTACTTACTATATATTTACTTTGCAAAATACTTATGCACAAAAAATGTACTTTATAAATTGAAATTACAAATGCTTGATTTTATGCACATGTATTCCAAGTCCTTAGGATGGGTTAAATTATGTCTTTTTCATGAAAATGTTTGGTTTTCTTACAAATTATGAGATGTATATGTAATAAAAAAAATTGGATACATTTGGATACATTTTTGGCTTGGTCAGGGATACATTTTCTTGGGACGGCTCGGCAACACTGATTGCAACATTGAAGCCTTAAGGGACGATTCAGGAAGCGAAATGATATGTAACCACGCATATTAGTTCGATTTTCATCACATAAAAAAAAAATTTATCATGCGTTCTTTCAAGGCGAATACATATATGGTGGTATCGATTGAACAAATACGACAATTACTTGTATTTTGTTTTTGCTTTTAGCGGGCCATTGTCAAATTTCAGCTATTCTTCCCCGAATGAAAAAGCGCGACAGAAAATGCAAACACTCGCACGTTTTCACTCACTCACTAACGAAATTCAAAATTTTGACAATCAAACGCTACTCACAGCTGATGAAACAACACCACCTTATATAAATTCGCCTTGCGTTCTTTCATATCGGCGTTCATTGTTGTCTATCTTTTGTTTTTGACGTTTCTCCTCTATTTACCAAAAATAGTCGATAAATCCGGGTTGCAGACGGAGAAGTTATCTTTTTAATACAGGATTATATCATAACTTGAACTTCAGAGGAGAACTTTTGTATTCTTACGTATACATATTGGACTGTTCAGCTAGGAAAAGCAGAAATTCTAGCTAAACAAAAAAAAACTAATATAACAATATTGTGAAATTTATTGAGGGCAAGAGACTACCGGATATCCGAATCCGGCTCTTATTTTTTACAGGATGTCTGGAATCCGGTTATCCGGCAAAATCCATACCTGGCGCATCCCTAGTTGTGTACAAACCCATATACTGCAGCATGATACAAATATTTAAAGGTAGTTTCACTTCTTCTTCTTAGCCGCCTTTGCTCCCATTTGACGGAAACTGTGCTTTTGGCATTTTCTTTTGAAATCGAGCTACCATATTCTTTGACAAAAGTAAAAAAGTGATTGATTACATAAAAAAAATATATATATGTATATATATTATTATTTAAAAGAAATTAAAGACATCGTACAGTTCCATAAGTAAAGTAACACCTCTTCTTACCTTTTTTTCAGGCAGGCTGTAGGTATGTTTTTGGTTAGTGTATTTGTGTTTTTGGTTCAGTGTGTTAGTGTATTTTGAATAAATTGTAATAGAGATAAAAGAAATTGTAATAGAAAGGAAAGAAATTGTAAAAGATAAGAGCACATGCCAAAAAACAGGTGATCTCAGCTGTAGGCATTTTTCGGCAATCAGCTGATAGTGTTTTTACATAGGAAACTGTACGGTGATTAAAGCTTTTAGCGATAGTGAATATAAAACGGAAGGTAAGAGAAATATTACATTGTATTCACCCATGATTCAATAATACAAGGTTGTGTAATTTGTGACAGCTAAAATTTGACACTCCTTTATCTAGATTTGTATTTTGGAAGTAGGAGAAAGGGGAAGAATGTGATCGCATTTTGCGAAAACGGTAGTAGGAAAGTACTACAAAAAGTACGCAAAGTATGCAAATAGAAGTAAAATGTGTATTATTAATTCTATGCGAATTTGCAATATATTTGGTGTTTTAATGGAAATACTAAACAATACATAAAAATATGCATTTTTCCGGTAACAAATCTAGAATACCGACCGTTCAGCTATGCAAAAACGAAAAATGCAGATCAACAGAACTTTTTATGCTAATTTCAACAATGCCAAAATGATTTGGCACAAGTAAAAAATGAAGAAGTTCTAGAAGGTTAAATTTCAGTTTTTAGATATTTTAATAATGAACTTTATAACCGATTAAAAAGCTAATCACGTCACCATAAAGGTAATTAATTTGTTCTTCAGCTGATGTACATAATTTATAGCTTTGTGTATTTTTAAACCAAAACCACTAAAAAACGAACAAATATTATTTTTTCATGAAATAACCTTTTTTGAAAAAACTGCATAATTAATGGTAAAGAATTTTATATTATTTAGAAAGTACAAGTTATTATCTTTAATTCGATATTACATATTTTATCATGATCTACTTTTGGGTTTCAACAATTTATTGATAATAAAAATACAAATAAACCTCTTATATCTTCTTTTTTTACCTGCGCCAAAAAAATTTGGTATCGTTGAAATCAGCGCAAAAAGTTCTAACAATCGGCATTTTTGGTTATTTTTTAGCTAAACGGTCGCTATTCTACACTTGTTCTAGAAAATTACGCAAACGAAGGTGGCGCCAACGAGTATGAAAGGTTTTTGGTTTTACTACTAATATCACTAGAAACTATAGAGTAAGCAACATTCTGCACAAGTGAAGGAGCCGATTTTATGTGTGGGAGCGAGAAGACTGTTTTATTACAAAACCTTTCTATTATTGAACCATGGTATTCACCTAAAATATGGAGTTACTCTTGTTAATTATTGTATTGCTTTTTAATAAGATGAGCTGCATATTTAGGAGCTACAAAAATAACAGAAGAAATTGCGAAAAAACTAACAAAGTTTTTTCGCCTCTCGGCGGTACCATATATGCGGGAAAAGTGGATATCCGCGTGCATGGTAACTGAAAACGCGTTACCAAAAGTATCGCTTGTTTGTTGCGAACACTTTTCCGCGAAAGATTTCAACCGGAGGAACGGATGCGCACAATTAGAGCGCTAATCTCCGAAACCGCTTAACCGATTTCAATGAAATTTTGTGGGTGTGTATTGTTGGTTCTAACTTAAAAGATAGGATAGTTGTGAACTCGAGAAAAAAATTTTTTTTTTTTTCAACAATTTTGATTGAGCTTGAGGCCGTTTTTAATGAAAAACTTATTGTGAAAAAGCAACAATAATTTGAAAAAATGGTAGAAGTGATAGCTATTTCGGAAATCTCCAGATTTCCTTATCAGACTTCTTTCAGTAGGATTCGAACCGACGATCCCACTGACTCAGCCAGTTGCCTACGCACTGTAATAAGTTCGCCTTGTAAATTATCGTTGCTTTTTCCCACATTTTTCATTTGTTAAGCTAACACAATCAAGCGCAGCTATTCCGCTGCAATTTACACATGATCAGTCATGGGCAGAGAACGAGCACACGCTCAAAGAGGGTAAACATCGCGTGACGTATACAAGCAAGAGCGTAACGATGAGATCGCGGCAGCATGCAAATTGAATTAGGCACACTAACACATTCTCACTTCTAGCGAATGCTTGTCTTCACAAGATCAAGTGTGCGTAGGCAACTGGCTGAGTCAGTGGGATCGTCGGTTCGAACCTTACTGAAAGAAGTCTGATGAGGAAATGTGATGATTTCCGAAATAGCTATCACTTCTAAAATTTTTTCAAATTATTGTTGCTTTTCCACAATAAGTTGTTCATTAAAAACGGCTTCAAGCTCAATAAAAATTTTTGAATATAATTGTTATAAGGCCATAAAATAACAAAAACTAATATTTTTTTTCATCGAAATTTTTTCTATGCTTTTCGCATCGTGCTAATCTAATATATAAAAATCTCGTATCACGGTGTTAGTGGTCGAACTGCTTCTAAACGGCTCGACCGATCTTTATGAAATTTTTTTGTTATATGTTGGATGTGTTTATGGAAGAGTACTGGAACTTGGTATTTACAAGATATATAAATTCAGTCGCGTGGTCATGAGGAAAAATTGGGACTATTGGAAAAAGGGGCATGGCACCTCCCATGGTAGATTACTCGAAAATGGAGATATATGAAATCAATCTCATACTCTTTGGGAAAATTGGGGCTATTTGAAATGGGGGCGTGGCCTTTCAAGCGCACTGAAACTATTACGTTTCTTTGTACACATGTACAGTTTTGCTAGGCTATTTAAGACGGCAATGGAAATATGCCTTCTGATCACCACCAAACCGTAATATTAGAAGATAAATGCGTCACTGAAAATCATGAACGTGAACTGTTGGTGAAAATGTTAGACCAAAATGTTTCAATACAAAAAATTAATTTTGGGCGGAACGAAGTTCGCCGGGTCTGCTAGTGTAAATATACAAATGTATAAATGTAGACGCATAATAAAACTAATGTATGCATGCAGATGCAAGGAGCTATTCATCATGCGTTATCAGAAAGAAGTTTATGCTTCCCTAGAATCCGAAATAAAGCAACATCCAACTTAGTTTCTTAAAGGACCACTGCATATAATATATCATGTTAAAGATAATGCTACATTGCTGGTGTGCCTTACATTTATAGCAATTTAAATCAAGCTTTTTTAATACGAACAATCATGTAAGTATATTTACCTCGTGCGTTACAACTTACTTTTTAATGAAATAAAAATTCCTTAAAAATTTTTAAAATTTCCAAAATAATTATTTGATTAGGTGGCAGTGCTACCTCAACAATTTACGAAAAGTGGAAACGTCAGTAAGCACAGTTTACGTCAAAAAATTTAAAAGTGAGACTACCTTCGTTTTTTGTATCATGTACTGCAGTGTGTTTTAATTTTGGGAGTGAACTTTCTTCCGACCAAGGCGAATTTATATAAGGTGGTGTTACTAGCTCAGCTGATTTTGTGTATTTGTTTCGCCGCACGGCTTCTGATATAAAATTGAAAAATTTTGTTTGAATTTCTACACACACTCTTACAGATTTTGACAGTTTATGCGCCAAAGCAAAAATAAAATACATGTAAACTTTTGTTTTTGTACGCCTGCTATCACCTTACATTAATTCGCCTTGCTTCCGACGAATTTCTCTGAGCGATTTAATTCTGTATATACTTTAAATTGTATTTCTTATGTGATCGGCGTATCGAAGCATAAATCAAATAAATTTGTTTATTAGTAACCAAAGTTCTGTGTCTCGTTTAACTTTTATTCCTCCAGCATTCAGCCTACAACATTCTTTAGTAAACACACCACCAATACTTTACGTACCGGAAAGGAACTGGAGAATATCTGAATCTGAGCAGGTGGGCCAAATAATTACACGAATTCGAGCTGAGGATCCAGAAAACGATGATCTCATTTTTGGCCTTGAACCACACTTTATATCAAACTATAGTGAAGAAAATGACAAACACAATTTACCATTTCGTATTGATGAAGTCAGAGGAAACGTTTACCTCAATGAAAGCCTTATTGGACGAGTAAGTTGATTTTAAAAATATTTCTATGAAATGTTTAGAAACATTAAAATTAACAATTATTGATATCATGATAAAAATATAGTAAGGTAGAACCGCTGAGAGTCACTTTTAAAATTCTTGACGTTTCCAAACAATTTAATTTTTAAATTTACTCACAAACTCACACACACATTTTCATTTTCAATCTCAAGCAACAACAATTTCGAACAATTTCAGTTTTTTATTTTCACTTTTATATGATTTTAAAATGTTGGCAAACTTCAAAAAAAAATCATGGCCGACAAATTGAGAGAACGGTTCTACCCAAGGTGTATTAAACAAGGTGTGATTGACAACTCAGTGCGGCTCTCTTTTAAGGTACTATAATGTCAAAAAGTATAAACAAACGAATTAACCCTTAGTGATGCATGTATCTTATCAGCACTGATGTCCTAGGCTTTTATTTCGATTATAGTTTTGTTTTACTTACATTACTTACATCACATATATTTTGTCAATAAAATAAAACAAATTGTTACAGAATTTTCTTGATAGGCTAGTCCGATCTAATTATCTTTAGTGCAAATAAAACAAGTTTATTCCACTATTACAGCCCAACGTTTCGCTAAACTTATTAGCATCATCAGGGGCGCGTTTGTTTATTTTTGTAGTATTAACACTTAAACATTTCTAAATCTTAATTGCTAAATATCCAAAACCATCTTGTGTGGTAATTTAGTTATAAAATCGTTTTATCAATTTTCTTGTTTTTAATTGTCCTAGTTTTATGCTTTTGCGCGTTTATTTTTATATTTAAATTTTTTATCCTAAGCATTATTCGACACTTATAAAAGTATGATTTTGCATTTTTTACCAATTTTATATGTGAGCTTAACTCAGACAATTTTGAAATTAAATTTTTTTCATGTGAACTAGTTTTCCATTAAAGACCTTGCTTCGAGCGGTTTTAATTTAAGCTCTTCCATACTTGCTTGCATAGTTTAATTATTTCGGTAAGCCGAAATATTTCTGTTGGCAACGTGCATTCTAAAGTGTCGTCTGTTGGAGTTTGGGCATCAAAAAAGAATGATCCTGATCGTGTACTAAATCCTCACTTGTATAAGTTTTTCCGTATGGCATTGGGACTGCGCATGGGTATAAACGAGCTCGTTGGAAAGTGTTTGATTTGCACATCACTTTCCTTGAAGTGGTTTTCACAAACGCGAGATGAATCACGTAGTACAACACCAAAGCTTTCTTCCCATCGCTGCCGTCTTAATTCGCAACTAGGTGGTTTAAAACATCGCACTATTTTCGTGTCCTGACTTTTATTGCATCGTTTCATCTTGGTTTCCTTACATTAAATATTTAAGCAAAGTCGAACGTATTTACTTATTACCAAACTTAAATGTACTTACTTGCTCTTCTCGGCGGTTTATCTCTTAACAATTTCACGTTTATTAAGAAAATTTGCTTTGCTTGAAAAATTTGTATGTATTTTTTTTGTTAATTCAAATTTGGGAAAAAAACACATTTTCAAATGGGTTAACAATTCATTTCAATTTGACATTATAGCCTGTTTCTTATGAGAGCAATGTCAAAATCAATCACACTTTGTTGAATACATTTTGGTTCTACCTTGCTATGTTTTTATCATGATTGATATCATGCGCTAAAAATATTCACAATTCCAGTAAGAACAAAAACAATATTTTGTCGAAATTTATTGAAAAACACCGTAGTAAAGCCTGTGTTCGATTAACAAAAGTGCAAGCGATTGATTTACACTATATCTTCTCTTCACTTTGGTATGAGTTATTGCTCTTTAATCAGTTTCTGGTGGGGTGCTACAGAAAGGAACACCCTAACAGACTCTTTCTAGAGGAGGAGCTTCCACCCAGGCACCTCAAGGGGCACCTATTCATTTCATTCATTCAGTCGGTACCACGACTCCCGGCCTATGAATGCCGTGATCGGAGCCCAATCACCCCCTGTGGCAGACACGGCGCTTGAACTGCCAAGAGAGACCCGCGTTACCCTGGTCCAGTTACGGTCTGGATACTGTAGCCGCCTCAACAGCTACCAGTCCAGACTCGACCCCAATATCATCCCCAATGAGTGTCCGGCATGTGGAGACTTCCCGCACGACACCAACTAGAGGTGGAAAAATATCCACGATACTATCGATGGTTTGTGTTTTACAAAAATACTATCGATGTTTTAAGACTATCGATACTATCGGCTGTAATGCAAGATCAATAAGTACACATTATAAATAATGAATAAAACGATGGCTCTCGGTAACTCTTGCCGATGTGCATGACGACTTGGTAGCTCTTATTACGTGAAAAAGCGGGAAATAAAGAGCTACGTCTACCGCAAAAAAAAATCGAAAATTTCTACAATTTGAAATTATTTTTCGAAAGCTAAGGAAAGCAGGGACGTGAACTGGTTTTGAACCGGAATACCGCTTTTTTTCTGTTAATTAACTGTACCATTAACCGAATCGAAATTTTCCACAAATGTTTGATCCGAACCGAAAACCGAACCACTTTCTTTAAAGCTTTAAAGGTTCGTTTCAACCAATTTTCAATAGATAAATGTACCCACTTTTTTTTTCTTTTTGTTAAACATGGTAATACCTACCATGTTTTTTTACCAAGTGACAATATCAAATGTAAAGGCAGCCCATCTCACTTGACCCTTAACCTTGCGCGTTGTTGCACTTGACACTTGACACTTAAATTTGCGCGTTATTTTTTGTTTTTCGAACCGTTGAACCGAACCGAAACCCCGGTTCAAAGACCAAAAAACCGCTTTGACGAAACAGTCCAAAAGTGCAACAACGGTTCGAACCGCTGTACCGAACCGACCAAATTTTTCATCCGGTTCACGTCCCTGAAGGAAAGTAAATATATTTACTTACGGCGCTGCTTATTATACTTGGCGTCAAAGGGAAAAAGGCAAACTACAACTGAGACTCTTACATTGCCCTCTTCATCATTAATCAAAAAAGCTGATTAATCGAAGCCTAATTAGTTAATTAATCAATTCAAAAAATAACAAAATAAGATTTCAATTATTGTTTTTTTTTTATGAAACAATAATTACTCACAATCTGATTAATCAGAATCTGCTTAGTACAAATTTTTGGTTAATCAGGATCATGATTAATAAAAAAATTAATTGGTCGATTAATCGTGCGTGCGTTTACTGTTAAAACATTAAGTTCTTGTTTTATTAATATATTTATGTAACTACATACATATGACATTGAAAGTCGACGTTAAAAATAAATAATATAAAAAAAAACTTTTTAACATACAACGTTTTTATAAATGAACTAAAAAGTAGAAAATAATATTTCTCAGTGCCATAGAATTTGTTTTGATAGCTTTTGATTTTGAAATTTTAGCAAAAATTATTTTAAACTATTTATGATATTGAAAATTAAAGGCGTGGGGCGCATGTAACAGACCTGAATTGATATGAAAGGTAATTAATATATGTATGTATGTGGATATATGAATAACGACCGTTAAAATCGATCTCAAATTTGTACTTTCTCTGTAGAAATTTTAGGTCTTTGTAATGTAGTTTGACTATTGTCAATAAAATCTAAGGCTTTGTATTGCATTTTGGATATAAAATATTGCCAAAGGTTATTACCAGAACTTTAGATGTTATAACTTCACATGAAAGTGGATTAACATAATAATATTAGTACAATAGTGACTAAGTAATAACATGTCCCCACCAAAAAGTTAACCATCTCAAATCGAACTTAACCACATCACTAACTATTGCTGTCCACACTGCGGTTTGAGGTTTATAAAGCAGTACAAATGTAGAGAACAGTGTTCGGAACTCCAAAACTCGATTCAGGACTAAAAATCTGGGCAAAAACAAATTTTGCTTACTAGATGAAATTTTTTATTTTCGTTTGTGACATTAATTGTTTGGCTAAAATATTTTCTATTCATGCAAAAATAAGAACGCGAGGCAATGTAAGGATAATACGTTACATATTTAGGTAATATTTAGCATTTTCTATAAAGTAGAACGTTTCTAACACTTAATTTTTTAAAGAGCAATAGGATCTAAACCTTTTCTACTTTATATAAATTTTATTCTACATATATTTTTTAACAACTTAAATATAGTTCTGCATCCGCCAATTTCTACAGCCATACATCAAAAAATAATCAATTTTGTTACTGAAACCGGTGGTGAACACTCAAAAAATGGCCCTAAGAGGGGCATAACATGAATAAAAAAACGGAATATATTTGAAGTCAAGCGGAGTAGAGGAAGAGATTTCAAATTTTTTCAAAAGTCGGAGTAAATCTAATCAGATCTTAGTTAAGTCCAAACACTAGTAAGGAACGAACTTTTTACATTTTAACGCTAATGACCAACAGATGGCGGGAAAACACAGGGTTGTATCAGACTTTCGACGTGGTTTCGAGTTGGTTAGCTTTTAACCATCTCAGTGAAATGGTTAAGTGCTGTCATTTTTATATGGCGAAACTACGCTAAATGTAGTGGACTATCGGGTTAACCAACTCAATAGCCATAACTACGTGGTTAGCTCCGGTGGGGACATGGTATAAGTGTGAGTCAGATGCTTACTGAAATTAGCAAGTGGTTTTATTCATTTTCCTCCATTTATTAGGATAACTATTACGAAGCTCGGTATTTATTTTTCTAATGGGTATATACAGTGGTGGAAAAATAAATATTGACAAGACTTTTTTTAAATTTTGCCTATTTTTCTTTCGTTTCTTTAATATTTATTATTATACCCGAGCGCACTTGTGCACAAGGGTATTATAACTTTGTTCACATAACGGTTGTTTGTAACAGGCAAAACGAATCGAGATAGATATAGACAAATGTATACATAAATGATCAGAATGAAAAGAGAAATCGATTAAGCGGTGACTGTCTGTCCGTCCGTCCGTCCGTCCGTCCGTCCGTCTGTGCACACGATAACTCGAGTAAAAATTGAGATATCTTAA